TGTGTGTGTGTGTGTGTGTGTGTGTGTATGAGATGGTGTACATGTGGAGGTCAGAGGACAACTTCCTAAAGTCCATTTTCTCCTTCTATGTTGTGAGTCTCAAGGACCGAGGTGCCTTTATCTACTGTGATGCCTCACTGGCCCACAATGAATGCTACCGTGTGACTGACTGGTCAGGTTGTCACTTCACGTCATGGATGGACACTCATGACAGCATACGTGGGTCCCCGACAGGAGATGACACTGGGTGGTTATCCTCGGTCCACATATGAGCATAAAAGGCTGCAGGAGACCTACAGCAGGGAAGGGGTCTCCCCGGCAGCCACACATACTTGCTGGATCCTTCCAGAGACAAGACATTGGGGAAAGAAACAAGGAAGAACCAGTCCCTACCGGTTGGGGTGGGAGGACGGCAGCATGAACTGGAACTCCACCACGCATGTGCCATCTGGGAGCTCCCTGTGCTGCAGGCTGTTTAACTCGTAGGCGATGTAGCCTCTCCGCACGTAAACCTGACAGAGCAGAGGGAGAACTGTGAGCATTCACAGCGGATTTCGGAGGGGCGAGTGCTGTGCACAGGACAGCTGCAGACTCTCTGAGCTGCAGGATAGGGGATTTCTCAAGAGTCTAGGAGCAAACATTTCAGACTTTGGGAGACCTCATTCCTGATGAAGCCCCTAGATTCTGCCATGGTAGCATAGAAGCCGCCCGTTGGGGAAAAAAAAATGAGTGTGTGTATCTGTGTTCTAATAAAACTTTATTTTAAAAAAAAAAGCAGTGGCATTGTTGGCCTGTGGGCTGTGGTTGTCAACTCCACTCTAACAACTGGAATGTAACACCACAAGCCACATAATTTTAAACTCCTAGTAGCTACTTGGGGGTTGGGGATGGGATTGTATTTTCTCTTTCCCCAAATACTCCAGCTATTTTTGTCTCAAGACAGGATGATAAAAACACCCAGGGTTTCCTGAGCTTCCCAGGAGAACTACACATGTCATAAGTCACTGTCAGAGGATTTCACTGGCTGTGATTCCCCTCAGAGAAGGGAGCCCACCCTGGGCCTATCAGCATTGCCAATATGAACAACTCTTGCTCTCTGACTTCCAGTCTGTGTAATAAATACATCACAGTTGTGACCACGACAGCCGAGTCCTGTGTGTCCTTGTAAATCACTGAACTGGAGTGTGCTTGGAGACCCAAACACATTTAGGATGAGGTCAATAACCCTCTCGTTTCAAGAGCCTGAGCCTGGAATGTACATCCCCAGCGTGCCTGAGTCACACGGGAGAAGCTGAACCGTGTTTAACAAATGTGCCTGATACATACTGGAGCGTATGACGGTACATCTTGGGGCCACGCGGACAGATCAGTGTATAAAGCAACTGCGGTGCAGGCCTGACGACCTGAATTCAATCTCTAGCAGCCACGTAAAAAGCCAGATGCAGTGGGCTCTGGAATCCCAGCATTCCTACGCTGAGTTGGGAGACAGAGGCAGGAGAGCCAGCTGGAAGCTCACAGTCCAGCGCACAGCCTGGCAGCAGAAAAGAGATGCTGCCTCGAAAAAAATTTTAAAAAGGTATGTGTGTGTGTATGTGTGTCTGTGTGTGTGTCTGTGTGTGTCTGTGTGTATATGTGTGTATGTGTGTGTATCTGTGTGTATGGTGTGTGTGTGGTATGTGTGTGGTGTGTGTATGTGGCGTGTGTGTGTGTGTCTGTGTGTATATGTGTGTATGTGTGTGTGTGTGGTGTGTGTGTCTGTGTCTGTGTGTGTGTGTCTGTGTGTCTGTGTGTGTGTGTATGTGGCATGTGTGTGTGTGTGTGTGTATAATCCCACCTGAACAGATGGCCTTTAACTTCCATGTGTGTCCCTGTGGTACATACTCACCCTTGACCTCTTTCTGTCTCAAACACAAAATTTATTAAGTAAAAGCTTTTTAAAAAATATTAATTTTATGTACATGAGTACACTGTAGCTGTCCTCAGACACACCAGAAGAGGGCATCGGATCCCATTACAGATGGTTGTGAGCCACCGTGGGGTTGCTGGGAATTGAACTCAGGACCTCTGGAAGAGCAGCCAGTGCTCTTAACCACTGAGCCATCTCTCCAGCCCTAACTAAAAGCTTTTAAACGCTAGAAAAAAACCCTCACAGATACAACTAGGAAGTAACACTTGCCAAAATAACGTCTGATGGAGTGTCCTGTATCTCAAGAGTGACCCATCCTTCCCTATAGCTGTCACAGGCTCAAAAGGCCAACCCAGTCTCTGCGAAGACCTAGGCAAAGCTGGCATGGGTGACCTATAGAGTCTAAAAGATGAAGGAAAAGCTAGGGGCTCACAAGGAGTGGAGACACTGAGCTTGACGGTCAAAGGTGAGATAAGACTGTCAGTGATCCAACTCGGTGTGGGAGTAAGGAGGAACCTGAGAACAGGAGACACCAGCTCCTATTTGCAGGAGTGGAAGCAAACTGCAATCCCGAGAGGAATCCATTGGGACAGATTGTCTGGCAGACACCCCACTAGGAAAGCCTCTTCCTATACAAGGGAGGTGGCCTGTCTCTGCTCCAGACAGAAATGTCTTTGAGATACTGAATGCTTGTGAATAAAAAGTTTGAACAAGCCGGGCGGTGATGGCACACCCCTTTAATCCCAGCACTTGGGAGGCAGAGGCAGGCGGACTTCTGAGTTCGAGGCCAGCCTGGTTTACAGAGTGAGTTCTAGGACAGCCAGGGCTACACAGAGAAACCCTGTCTTGAAAAACAAAAACAAAACAAAAAAAGAATAAGAAGTTTGGACAAGGTGATCTGGCTTGGCACTGGGGTGTGGCCCAGCTGTGTCCCGTGTGGCCTGTGATGCCACAGGGCCTGGCAGTGTTACTGGCATGGACTTTGCAAGAAAACCAATAAGGTATGAATCCTGTCTCTGTCCCTGTCTGTGTGGCCCTGAGAATGTCACCTCAGGTCTCTGAGCTCAGTTTATCCCCTGTGAGATGAGAAGAGAAACCCCTTCCTTAGAGAGAAAAGGTCACATTTGCAAGGCTCAGTGTTTCTCCTTACCTCCAGGGATGCCATACAGACGACCTTGTTAGCGTGATAGAAGAAAGTGGGCAGGACGTCGAATATGGTCGTTTCCGAAAGTATTAACTTCTACGGGAAGCAGGAGGGGCCAAAAAGCAAAATGAACGTGAGCAGGTGCAACCCAGAAGCTGGAGGATGGGCAGGGGTTGTGGGGGAGTCACAAGCACAAGTCACGGTCATTGTTACAGTCAGTATCTCCGATACAGGGACTCCTTTGCAGAGAGCCTCGGGAGATCGGACAATGAAGGTATGGAGGGTCACTGTGCCCAGGGCAGGGTCCCAGTTTCAAATGCAGATGGGTGCCTATTAGTTTATGATAAGCTAGGGCCCTGGCAGGACCCTGGAAAGACAAAGTCAGTGCCAGTCCCCCTGAACCCGTATCCCAGTTCCCCCACCCCTATCCCAACCCCCTTAGCCCAGATCCCCCATCCCCCATTGCAAAGGGCTGACACCTCCTGTCACGTTCTAGAAAAATGCCATTAATGTTAACCCTGCACTGGCCAGGAAAGCCTCATCCTGTTACCCTGTGCATCCTGCAAACAGATTTCCGCACCTGCAACTCCCAGAGCCCGCTGATCTTCCCTGGGACGGTCCTAGCCACTCTGAACTGGATGCCACTAAACTGGGGGCTCCTTGAGGGTAAGAAAAACCTATGGTCTGTCCCCGAGTCTCACCTTGAGGTTTTCCGGGCAGAACTGGTGGCCATACATGTCGATGGCGGACAGGAAGATGGACTCCACCTGGTTGTGCCGTAGCTCGTAGGAGGGGAGGTGAGAGGCGATGAGGACCTGCAAACAGGAGGGAGGGAGGACAGGGATGACAGGAGCCGGGAGGAGGGAGAGCCACAGACACCGGACCCTATGCTCTGAGACCGACCTGTCTTGCTCTGAGCGCCACCTTGCAGTGCTCACTCCTGCTCAGCTGCGTGAGCTCGTTGAGGATGGCGGTCAGCTCGTCAGACAGGGCAGGGTCTGGGCCGCACAGTTCATCCTTCAGGGACAGCAACAGAATTTAAGTTGATTTTGCTAGGCCCAAGGGGCCAGCACTTGGCTGGTCAGGGAGGTGGGGGTAAGGGAATCTAGTGGGGAGGGGAAGGGGGGATGGTGAAGGGGTGAGGGTGGAGGAAAGTCTAGCCTCAACTCCCTAAACACATCTAGCTAGTTTTATTTTTAAAAGCCCTTAGCTGGGCAGTGGTGGCACACATCTTTGATCCCAGCACCCAAGAGACAGAGGCAGGTGGATCTCTGTGAGTTCAAGGCAAGCCTGGGCTACATAGAGAAACCCTGTCTTGAAAGAAGAACTCACCGGGCAGTGGTGGCGCACACCTTTAATCCTAGCACTTGGGAGACAGAGGCAGACGGATTTCTGAGTTTGAGGCCAGCCTGGTCTATAGAGTGAGTTCCAGCACAGCCAGGGCTATACAGAGAAACCCTGTCTTGAAAAAAAAAAAAAGAAAGAAAGAAGAATTCTTGTCTCTTTTTACTGTAGGTTCACTTCATTCATTCGCTGACTTGTGCACCCTACACATGCCCTCACGCCCGATGTGCCGGGGAATACATGCGTGTGGCCGAGCATGCACATGTGCACACGTGTGTGTGTGTGGAAACAGGACCAGACTACCCTGGAAGTCTTCCTCCATTGCTCCCCACTTTATTATCTGAGCCAGGATCTCTCCTGAACCTGGACTCAGAAACTCACTCATCTGACTGCTCTAGGCTGCTGGCCTTGTGGGGTGTCTTATCTCCAGCTCCGGAGTTCTGGGATCACAAGTGGGCCACCGTACCCGGAGGCTTTTTACGTGGAATTTGGGGATCCAAACTGTGGTTCTTGCACGTGTGCAACGGGTGCTCTATCCACTGAGCCATCTCCTGGCCCAGGCAAGCATCCCTTCTGATGAGCGAGGAGCCATTCTGCTGAGGATGGGGCTGTGTGCACAGGGTGCACCGGGTTCAGACCAGGCACGGGGTTCAAACTGGGCTGTGTGCACAGGGCCCCCGTGTTTCCTTTTGTGTCTTCACTGTAAGAGGGGCTTGGAGACAGCTCAGAGAAGGGGCTCCCTAAACATCCACTGGAGACAGATCTGTGACAGGAGGAAGCTGCGGCTGCTGAGCCACTGCCATCCACCACCCAGATGAGCCCACACCGTCCTCTAAGACACCCTGCCACCTATAGAGTGACCTCCTCCCATAGAGACTGAGTCACCCCTTATCTACACGCATGCACTGTCCCAATCCTGAAAGCCCTTGCTGCTTTCCTATTTAACAGGCTGTCACCCTCCCCCCTCTCAAATCCCAGAAGGATCAGACAGCTACAGTATTGCTTAGACCGTCCCATCCCTCTGATTGCAAGGAGCACACAGAGCCCGGGGCTGTCCGGCAGCTAGGCTAAGAGGTCCACCATTCAAACAGTACTCGGTATAGGGCTGGAGAGATGGCTCAGCCGTAAAGAACGAACGTTTACTGTTCTTACAGAGGATCTGAGTTAGGTTCCTAGTATCTGTACCAGTGAGCTCACAACCCCAGGGGGTCCGATGCCCTCCTTCTGGCCTCCATGGACACCTGCATTCAAGTGTGCACACACGCATGTGCATTAGAACACCAGGTTAGCCCCCCTCACATACGAAAGCTCACAATATATTTTTTTTCCTTTCCAGGAAGTGGCTGGTCTCACACAATTCTGCTGACGGCATTGTGTTCTATTTTCATTGTCGCTAATGCTCTGTGACACCTAAAGGACCCTGAGAAACAAGACTAGGGAGGAAGTTCATTCCAGGGCCATTGCTCCATTGGAAAGTCCCCCACTGCGAGTGTCAGTGACGTCTAAGTTAATCAATGGTTGCCATCTTGGCAGGACCTAGAATCAACTAGAAGACAGAGCCCTGGGCTTGTCTGTGAGGCCATCTCCAGATTAGGTTAACTGAAGTGGGGAGCCCCACACTCAGAATGGGCGACACCATTCCCTATGCTGGGGCCCTGGACTGATTACAAAGGAGAAAGAGAGCTAAACAGAGGCATTCAGTTGTGTCTGCTTCCTGTGGATGCCAGGTGCCCAGCTGCCACGTGCATCCGCCGCCATGGCCTCTTGCTATGATGGGCTGCACCCTCAAACCAAGAGCTAGAGTAAACTCTTTCCTTCTATAGTGGCCTTTGTCAAGGAAATCACTAATCCAGCTTCCTGGGTACCGAACTGTACTAGGTATGAAGAAGTCTGTATTTTCTAACAAATAGAATCAAAGGTTGTAAGAAGCCATGACTCTCATCCATACCACCCCTATGACCATGGCTGGGGCAACATGCTCACCCTTCTAAGTAACGCTCCCAGGTACCTAGGCTAGGCCAGTTTCGCTATTTTCTCCAGGCTGGGTTATATGGCACGGAGAAAATTCATGCCCAGGAGCGTTAACACATGCACAGGAGCAAAAGACATCAAGATAACCCATAGACTAAGCCTATCATCTATCTCACCCGGTAAACCAGGCTGGCCAGGAACTCACTATATAGACCAGGCTGGCTTCACAGACTGTAATTTCCAAGTATGAGGACTAAAGTCATGCCCACCACACCCAGCTCTGGCCTGAACCCAGCTGAATGGAAAGAGCATCTTTCTTCCAAATGAGATCCAAGGATCATCTCCACCCTTGGGTAGATTTTCTTAGCAGTGGGTACCCCAAAGACTGGAATCTCTCTGGGCTTCAGCTTCCAGTCCCAGCTACACGCCACGGTCATTTGGAGAAACCCTTGCCTCAAAATAAATTTTGAGGGGACTGGAGAGATGGCTCAGCGGTTAAGAGCACTGACTGCTCTTCCAGAGGTCCTGAGTTCAATTCCCAGCATCCACATGGTGGCTCACAACCATCTGTAATAGGGATCCGATGCCCTCTTCTGGTGTGTCTGAAGACAGCGACAGTGTACCCACATATATGAAATAAATAAGTCTTTAAAAATAAATAAATAAATAAATAAATTTTGAAAAACTTCAGAACTACACAAGCAATAAAGACTCCAGTGCTGACTCCACCCGGAGTTGCTAGCTGCTGGACTTGACCACGTTGGTGCGTTTGCTTTTACTTTTAAAAGAAGATTATCAAAGAAAAAGTCTTCAATAATGAAAGGCTGACAAGGTTCTCTCTAGACGAGGAGTTCATGAGTAGGGAACCCTAACACCAAAATTAATAATGGTACTAGTAAGTAACAACAACAATAATAAATAAATTCTGTATATAATCTCTAAAACTAATATTTTTTTAAAGCATCCAAGAAAATCTGGCACAGAGCAAGTGTTTTGTTTCACTGCCTATTGTAACAAAGTTTTTTGTTGTTGTTGTTTTTTCGAGACAGGGTTTCTCTGTGTAGCCCTGGCTGTCCTAGAACTCACTCTGTAGACCTCAAACTCAGAAATACACCTGCCTCTGCCTCCCAAGTGCTGGGATTAAAGGCGTGCGCCACCACTGCCCGGCCTGTAACAAAATTTTATTGTGCAGTCACACCATAAACAATGACAGAGGCAATCCGCAAGGTCTATTTCTTTACTTTCTAGCCCTTTCTAGAAAATAGTTGGGGACTGGGCTGGGGATGTGGCTTCAGGACAGAGAACCTGCCTAACATGTGTAGGACTCGGGTTCCACGACAGAACTGAAAGGGGCGTGGGGAGAGGACGGGAGATAATGAGGAAGAGAAAGGAGAGAGAAGAGGAGGAGGGGGAGAAGGGGGAGGAAGGAGGAGACAAGCCCCTCCCCACCCGGGGGTGGGCCCCCATCTTACTATCAGCATGGTCACCAGCTGGTTCTTCTTGGCCACCTGCGAGTGTGAGAAGATGCAGTCCAGCACCTGGGTCATGTCCGGCTTGAACTGCTCCCTCAGGTTGATCACGCACTTGTCATAGTGGGCTGTTGGGGAGACAGGAGACCCAGAAGGCTGAGGCCAGGACACCTCCCTCCTCTCTTGCCCTGCCCAGAGCTTGTGGCACCTCCCTCCCTCCTCGCTTGCCCCGCCCAGAGCTTGTGGCACCTCC